ACCCTACAATGGCTCTTAATACTGTCTGAACGATGAAAACAACCAACTAATGGCTTGGAATAAAGTCTATTAATAAATAACATTCTGAGGAGTTTTAAAGAATATTTTACACAATAGAATGACATTAAAGAATCAGGAATAGGTTTTTAGATCAATATTTCTTGTAAATAACTTGAAAACTGTTATGTTTTATTAAAACAATCATCCTATAGAAGAAAATCGATGCTTCCGCTTCATTAAATGTTTGTTTTGTCCCTATTTGAACCATTTTGATCGGATAAACCCAGTTTTTCCAGAAGCAGAATATTTCCCTGCTGATGTGAAGTTCTCAGAAACTCAAATATTATAAACTTGGTTTTAAAGAGTTATAAACTAAAAATACAAACTGTTTGTTCAATAAAACGGTTGCAGATTTCCTGCATCAGATCTTTAACACCAACCTAAATAGTTTTATTTAAAGATCTTGTAGTATTATGGTCCTGAAGGAAAACAGAAGTGATATTTATGGAACAAACTGACCTTTACGAATTTCACAGAACCAAACTGTTTCTGAACCGGTCTGCAGCAGCTCCAGGTTAAACCTTCTGTCTGGATTCTCAATGAACACCTCGTAGAAGTTTGGATCCTGGCTGACGTGCCTCAGAGTTATTTGCTGTGAGGAAACATGAAAAACAAGCTGGTCTGACTCAGCTGGACTAGAACCAGTCCAAAAGGTTCCCAGAACCTTTTAGTAGCAGAAGCACTTTGGTGCTTTGGTAATAAAATCTAATCAGCAGAATCAAAGTGGACCTAGAATGAACACCACATTTCTCAGAGCAGGGTCAAACGGTACCGGGGGCTGAATGTGGGCGGTCTCTACGGAAGCCTTGAGGGTGAAACCACAGTCCATCTTCAGACGCTGGTCTGGGTGGGGCTTCTTGATTGCTTCATACCCCCCAGAGGTTTCATCTTTGTAGATCGACTGAAAGGACAGCAAACAGTCCAGATGTTTCTCCAAGAAGAGCAAAGACAGAAATAACTGGTCACAGCAGAGTCCTCTCTCTAGGTAAGGGAAGCCCATCTTTGGATTTATGGCACCAAATCTAAAAGGCGGATTCCAGCAAGTTCAAATACGTCTGAAAAGACGTAAATCAGTCTTTTAATCAGAGTTCTGCCCTTTGTTTAAGTTTATATTTAGTTTCCATGTTATTCTGTGTCTTTGTTTTCTGTCAGTTTGGTATTTCTTTAGTTACTCTCTGCTGCCCCCTTGTGTTTGTTTCCTTTCCCCTTGGCTCCCTTCTAGTTAGTTCTACTCACACCTGCTCCATATCTATACACCACCTCTGCAGTCACTCAGTGCTGGTTTCTCGTTGTTTTGTTGTTCTATCGTCTTCTTGCTCCCCTCGCCTGTTCTCCTTCAGGTTATCAGCATTTTGTGTTTTGAATTTTTGCCTCTGTTGCCTTGGAAAATTAATTCAATCTTCAAAGCTGTCGTCAAAAACCTCCTCTTAACCTTGACACTTTTGTTTGTTCTGAATCAAATAGAAATGCTTTAAGCAGAAGTTTTCCTGCTTCTACTAGATGTTCAGGATCCTCTGAATATTGTGCAGAAGGAGATTAATGGAGGGACTTTAGTTGAGACAGATTTGATCTCCAAATGATGTAAAATTGTTGATAAATGAAGGACTTGATGATGAAATAAATAAGCACCTGTTTCAGAGCAGGATCCGGCAGGATCAGGTAAACGTGCAGCTTGAGGAACGGCTTGTTGGGCTGATAGTATATTAATGTGTTACAGCAGTTGATTCGTGGAGAGAAGAAGATGTTTAGAAGACATCCCAACAAGGAGAAAGCTGGTTCTGTTAATGTGACATGAGTCTCTGTGACCTGGGCCACTTTTTCCAGGACATCTCCATAGTCTGTTACATGCAGGACAGCAAAGTTGTCCAATAACTCAGGAACATCTTCTGCAAACACAGCAGCAACAGATGCTCAGTGAAAATGATCTGAATGTGTCCTGAAAAGCTTTTCCCTTAAAGTTCTCCTACCGATGTAGACCCAGTGAGGCAGCTGGACCTCCAGCATCGTCCCAGTAGAGACAGTGATGTCCATTAAAGGACCTGCAGGCCTGTATCCTCTGCTCTCCATCCTCTCCATGTGGCCATCCCACGAGCAGAACCGGTACCTAAAGGCCACCTTTTCCTGGCAGAACCAACGCAGACCAGAGACGCTGCATTCAAAGCGGCCCGCTTCAGACTGGAGGCTGATATTAAAGAGAAAGAAGAAGCTTTTAAAGCTCATGAGCGTCGTTGGTTTATTAACACGAATAAAGATTTCAAAACGAGCCGCTGAGCTCTGCTTTCTACTCAGCTGCTGCTCTGATGTTGACCTGAATGTTTGTGCTTCGTCTGGAGATGTCCTGTCCACCTCAGGGTCAACTTTGGTCCAGCTGCTGGAGTCCAGCTGCAGGACATCCGTCCAGATGATACTTTTTAGATGTTATGTAGATGAAATACAGGATTACAGACGAGGACAATGGAGCGGGTGGATTACCTCTGGACTTTCACTTTTCACAGCATTCAAACATGTAGATGGGATTTCTGGAAACACAGGGAGGTGAATCAGCATCTTCTCTGACATCACAGCAATGAGTTTAATGTGGCTGGCAGGTTTTTCCATCTCTATGGTTACTAAATGTTGGACATATTTTTCTAACTTTTCCTTAGGCATCAGTTTTAAACCTTTCAGTTTATTTCTATAGCGCCAATTCTATTCAGTTTATTTCTATAGCTCCAATTCACATCATGTCATCTCAGGTCACTTTCCAGTTCACCAGATCATCCA